CTTTTCTGATAGAAAGCAACCTGGTTGTACAACATCCTGGACTAGAGAAAAGAAAACTGAATTAACGATACTTAGTCAACAATCGAAAAGGGGTCAGTCAGAGAAAAATAGGTTTTAAGTTTGGTGTAAATTATTCGGCAATTTGTCATCAGTTAAAAAAAATGAATATTAAATATAGAAAACGTGAAAAAACTTCAAAATACACTCTAGAAAAACAATAAAAGCCAAAGAAAAGAAGCAGGAAACTAGTTAACTAACTCTATAACACAAAATTGCTTCTGGTCATCGATGACAAAAAATACTTTTGTTTTGCAGGGGATAACACGCCTGAAAATTCTGGATACTACACAAACAACAAAAAAAAAACATACCCAGAAAATGTTCGTTTTTGATATCTCCGAGCCATTGTTTTGCAATTCCAAGGCTGTAGCAATTAATTCATCAATCTATATTGATGAATATTTAGAAAAACGAGTTCTTCCATTCTTACACAAGTAGCATAGAGATTTTAAGAAATTATTTTGACCAGATTTAGCAAATTCTCATTATTTTAAAGATTCTCTAAATTGGATGGACCAATTTGTCTATTGTGTTGATAAAGAATCCAATATCCTAATGTGCTTCAAGCACAACCAATTGAAAAATTTTGGCACAGAAGGTTTACGAGGGAGATTGGCAAGCTTCATGAAAGTTTTGATTGATCAAATTAAATTAAAGCTACAAGAAATCGATTTAACTTTTTTACAGTCGCTTATGAAAGGCGTCAGAGCAAAATTGAGATCAATTGCAGATAGTGGTGTTTTTTCATTTAAAAAATAACTTATTTTTATTAAAAGATAGACACTTGATTTAAAAAAATAACAATAGTTTTTCCATTTATTAATAAGTTATTGACGTTTTTATTTTGTTCGATAACTTACGCATCACCCGTTAGAACGTCAAAACGAAACATTAAAAAACTCTTTGGTAAAGGTTTTGGAAGGAAATCCCGAAATATGGCCGCAGGCTATCAATGGTATTTTTTTTTCTCATTGTGTTAGTCGACGTTCTTTTACCAACAACTTTTCATTTATGCTGATGTATAACCGCCAGTTTTGCCAATTGATGTGAACCTGGACAAAGATGAAAGCAATAATTAAGAATACAGGGATAATACAGAAGAATACAACAAGAATACAGAAGGAGATGCAGATAAAGAGCAGTCGTAAGCTATCTTTTCAACTGCAATAAAAGTCAGAACAAAAATTGCCGAAAAAGCAGCCAAAAATATTAACGCTGCACAGAAAAAATAAAAACGTGATTATGATCGTAGACACTTGTAGAAAACGGAAATGAAAGTAAATGAGATTGTGTTATTATGAAACAACATACGATTTTATTGGAAAAGTGGAAAGTTTTCACAAAAATGGCTTGGCCCCTACTCTGTTATGAACATCTCTCAAAAAGGAGTTGCAACTTTAATAAATGCTTCGGGATTGACTCTTAAAAATATATACAACATTGTTCAACTAAAACTTTACATTCAAGGAGCAGATGAAAAATTAAAATTAATAACAAATGAAGAATCTGCAATTTTTTAGAAACGTGTGCCAGACAAAATTATTGAGATGATTTTGCTTTATGCTGTGCAACAATTAGGGAATTTTTTCCCTGGACACAAGTGTGAGACCTACGCAAGTATTAAATTGATCTGTCATAAGTGGGTTGCATAATTGAAGGTAGAAGTCTTATCTTACTTCCAAAGATATATATTGATACGTGGAAACCTTTTAAAAACCCCACTAGTTATAACAACGACAAAAATAAGGGTAATAAGGGTAGCCTGAAAAATAAAAAAAATTAACAAATCATAAAGTGCGTCCTTCTAATACCTATTGATATAAAGAAAAAAATGGTTAACAGTTTTTGCCAACCCACTTTAAAAATGCAAAATTTTTGACATTTTTATGGGTTAAAAAGTGCATAGATAATCATAAATAATTTATAAAACAAGCTCCAAGCATCAATTAGGTACCAATTGGTTCAGAATAAAATTTAGAACATTGTTTATTAAAATAATAATTTTTTCTAAAAACGATGTTTATAAAATTATTTTCAAAAATCAAAATTTTTATTGTTTTTTAGTTGAATTATTGACATATTACAAAAATATGACAACGGATACTTTCCATATATTACATCTATGTTCAAATTAACAATCAAAATGCAAAATCCTTACAATTTAAGTGTTATTTATATATAAAACATAAAAAATATACCAAATGTTACAATTTAAAATCACTTTTTGGTGTGAAATTTTTAATTTATTTCCTGGACCTAATTTTGTTTTGAATAACTCCATCTCTGCAATGGTGTCCAGCCATAGAAGCTGAAGCTTTAGTAACAGGATTTTACATGTTTTCAACATTATTGCTGTGACGCTCATACCTTAACTTAAGTGGTTTTTGAACAAATTCAAGTATTTTATCTTCTCCAGTCTTAAAACCTGTGGAATTGTGTACCATTTAGAAAATGGGGTCATTTTATAATAATTTTTTTGAGAAATTAAATTTTGAGCTTTTTAAACCCTCTTATATCTTCATTCATTGAGTGGTAGTAACTTTCACTAACATTAGCTTCATTGTCATTGTCACTCTCAACCGTTCCCCATACAAAATTATCTTCTTCACTATGAAAGTCTTTTTTGAGATCTTTTAATTGTAAAATTTTGTTAATCGTTTTCTTCTGACCTCTTCATCCTCTTCGGCTAAAATTATTATTTATAACTTTATAACAAATGTTCGTCACATTGAATGAAGAAATTAATTTATTCTTTGAACCACATTGAATAGGTTTTTGGAAGCATCAGTTAAATATTTTTTAATCTTGATATTAAATCAACTAAATAGCAAAAAGCTTTAGACTTTTAGTAGATTTGGAAATAGATACATAATACCACAAGATTCAGCACGCTAATGTTAGCCAACGAGAATAGCTCATAAGGCTAATTTCTAAATCATTATCTATGTATCCTGTGATTACACCCCAACAGATGTCATAAACATAGTGGTTAGTCGATCAGACATTAATGATTTTGTTGTATGAAAAGTTTTGGATTTAACTTAACAGCACCCCATTTGGAAACATAGCCATTCAGCTAGGAGTCAATGGCTCCATAAAACTTATCTTGCCTTTTGGTAGTTGCACCAATTTCAATAAAAATATTTTCCATCTGCCTTTACTAAGCTCAGTCTTGTTTAAAGCTCTGTTTCCTATAGTGTTTTGAATATTCCGTCTGCACATTTTTGTCTGATGCTATCAAGGTAAAAGTCGCTTGAAAATAAAAATTTTCAGTAACATAGATACAAAATATTTTATATATATAGGCCATTTAGTTTTCACATTTTATAAATGCTTGATTGGTAATAATTGATTTGCCTTTTCTATAAATCCTGCTGCATCTATTTCATATTCTTTTCTTTTTGTCATAGTTTACAAATTTATAAAGATTTTCAATGAAACTGCTAAGTTTTATTTTAATTCTAATGATAGATACTGAATATAAATTATGATTTTAGATTGAATAGTTCTACACTAACATCTCTATGGACACTGTCTTTCCTATAGTTTTTAAAGTGAAGAAATTTTTCAATCACTTGCTTTAAAGTGAGATGTTTTCCAAAACGAAATAGCTTAACGGTTTAAACATTTATTCAAAATGTATTTATTTGATTTATTTGCTGTTTTTCTTGTTGACATCTCTATGATATTTATCTAATTATGTATTTGAAAAACAACAAACACATATTAAATCTGTCAATCTGTTAATCAATCAATTAAATCTGGAAGAAAAGTCTATTTGTTTTTAGTTTTCTGTTGACACTTTTTTTAATGTATACATTAAAAATACAATTTGAATAATTTTATATATTTAATATATTAAAATATATTTATTTAGATATATATATATATATATATGTATATATATATATATATATATATATATATATATATATATATATATATATATATATATATATATATATATATATATATATATATATATATATATATATATATATATATATAAGAAAATATATTTAAAAACACATTTGGAATAATTTTTATTCTATGACATTTTTTGACATTTTTTGTAACACCTATAGGTGTTACAAAAAATGTCATAGAATAAAAATTATTCAAAACTAAATTTTGCATCTTTTAATGTTTATCTTATACTGCTGAGTTAGGTGAGCATGATGACGGCATACTAAAATAGCCTGCTGCTGGTGGCTTCAGTACATACATCAACTGACAAATAGCCTGACTCGCAGTGGAGTGCTCCTACATAGCCTATGGGTTTTGGGATGGGTCAGCAACCTTTTCATTCATTATTCTTCGTTTTCCTTCTTCATTTTCTAAATAACCTATATTGATTTAGATGAGCAAAAACGTGAGCAATTGCGCATATAAATATGCTATAGTAGATAATATATATACATATTAAACATATATTATGCATTTTATAAAGAATTGAAAAATTTTTACCCTAAGAAATTTGACAATTTTTAGGAATTTCATATAATCTCAAGTGGGTCAGCTAAAACTGATAACCACATGATTTTTTTGTCATAAATCTTTGTTACATCAAAAGCCAAGTAATTATATATATATATATATATATATATATATATATATATATATATATATATATATATATATATATATATATATATATATATATATATATATATATATATATATATATATATATATATATATAATTATTGTCTATAATGCATTCAAAAATTTAGTTGTCTTGGTCTTAATCGGTAAAAATCTTTTTTCGTCTAGACAACTTAAATTGCTAAAATGTAAGTATAAAAAAAGACCAATTTTTTTCTAAATTTTATTTTAAATATATTAAAACTACATATGACTATGTATATATTGTACAAATTATAACTTATAATAATAAATAATAAATTTTAGCTATACATAAATAATATATACATTTGCAATATTTTTTTTTCTCCGTAAAAAGTTGTACTAGATAAAATATTCATTGTAAGTTAAAAAAAACAAGTTGAACAAAGTCTTTAAACAGATCCCAAAGAAACAATCAAACAAAAATTGTAACGAATATTTATAAGGTTTATCGAAAATCAAGCATTTATAAAATATTTTGTCGGAATATTTCCGACAATAGTTCAAATAAAATTAGTTAAAAATGCAAACAAAAGACAATAAACAAAATATGTTATGTTGGAGATTTAGCGCTTAATCTTCAAGCGCTTTTATTCCGACTAATGTATTGTGTAAATGGAAACCTCCAAGACAACAAAATTATTTCGTTAACTTCTCTTTTTTTCTTAAATACGTGTTTATTTAGTAATAAGCAGATTTTCAAGTTGTAAAACATAAAAAGGTAACTATTTACAATTGTCTAGACAATGCTAAACTCTTTTTATAGCGTTATTGCGACGTGTCTGTGTGGCGACGATTTGTTTATTTGCAAGTAAGCGATTTCTACTTTACATTAAATTGCGAACACAGTCTAACATTGTTGCAATTCTCACGTTAAAAAATGATTTAAAAGTTTAAAACGTCGTTGTTTTTGTTCCAGTAATCAAGATTACAAGGAACCCTCGTATGCGACGGTTCAACATATGGTAAAGGAAACTCAGTCTCATTGTGTATAAAACGGTGATTTTGAAGTTTATCTGGCTGGCTGCATTGTGGTTTTAATAATGGGCGAATACCGTCTGGAAATGCCAAGTTAAACAAAGCGTCGGGACTGCATACAAATCGGTACACATATCTTTCGCCTGATACCTTTTGCATGATCCCTTTTTCGTAATAGTATCGAAGTGAACGGCTTAACTTATCGTAGTTCATAGCTGGTCGATTCTTTTGCATTCCCCAACGGCGGGCAACTTCTTCAGGGTCGTTTAATTTGAATTCCAATCCCCTACCATTCCAGCATATAAACTGTTGACAGTCATCCTCTGAGAGTAAAGCAACAAGAAATTGCCAAAGTTGCAGTGTACCGCGTCTTTGATAAGGACGTCGTGAGTTTCCCTCATAACGGCTAAAAGGGTTTTCTCTTTCTAAAGAAAAAAAAGATAAGTATTTTTCATTATGTCAAAAAAGCAGATTTTAAAAATAAACTCTCTCGCATAACTTGTTTTTGGTTTTTGTGTAAAAGCGAAAAACTCTATAATATTATACGGCCTGTTATAGCTTTACGGCCTGACAAAGTATATGATTTTTTTCCGACAATAATCCGACATAAACACAATTAAGTTAACTAACTTTCTTTTTGATTTTACATATTTTACGCTCTAAAACAGAAGCTAATAATAAAAGATATTTATAAGTTAAATACTTATGAGAAAAGGAAACAACATAAAGTTTCCTGATAGATATTTAATTAAATGAGTGTGAACGCGCTTTTACTAAACCCGAACTTATTATAATTAAAGTCTTTTAAATAACAAAAACGTCATTTTAATTGCTGGGGTCTCTTTAATTTATTCAATCTTATTTATAGCTAAAGCCGAGACGGTTAGGTTAGGTTAAAAAAATCACGAGTAAATAACTTTAATCCAACAGGAGACCGTAATGATTCAAAGTAAGATATGATTTATCTCGTGTTAAAACCAAACTTTAGTGTGTCTCTAGATGTATTACGACGCGCTAAAAGTAGTTTATTCTTCTTTTAAAATATTAATGAGTTAGAAAAATTCATTTTTTTAAAATTCTTACCGAGACGATTGTGTTTCTGTTTTTTGTTTAATGTCCGATGTCGTAAGTATTCTGTTCCGCTTGTCAATTCAGAATCTAAATTGAAAAAATTAAAAGTATTTTTATAATAATTATGCTTAAATTATTAAAGTGGCGTCGCTAGATAGGGGTGGGTGGGTGGGAAGGTAGAGGTGCAGGCTACACCGGATGACACCATCACGACGTAGCACAGAGCGGTGAAACCCAAATAAATAAAAGGCAAATATGCCAGAATTTATTTTTCAATAGGACCTAATTTTTTTCATCAAACTCATATCAAATTTAAGGTAAATGTTTTTAATAAAGTTAAAAACCAAAAAGTATTATTTAAAATACCAGATTCTTTAACAGGTATGTCCCGGTTTTCTTGTGCTTCTTTTTTTATATAATCTAACGAGCTTTCGAGCGAGCCAAGTAACTCAAAGTTTAACTGCATAGAATTAGGTTGAGCAATATCACTACTTTTGTGAGATAAATCATACGGTGTACAGTTTGTTACATCATCAGAAGATTTGAAATCTGATTTCTTAGTATGATTTAGAACTTGATTCGAAAGATTGGGGTGAGTAAGTGGACGTAATAACTCGTTGCCATGGTCAAGTGGTGGCACATTTTTTAAACTTCGCAGTGGGCTTGCATATCTAAAAAAAAACTGCGTATTTATTTAAAATGCACAAATAGCTAGTGTATAAATAACTTAGGTAAACATAAAGCATCGAAATAACGTTAAAATACCGTTTATTGCACGTCAAAATTTAGACGTATAACAAAACTTGTAGTAACTAGAATTGCAGCAGTTTTTTTGATTTTTGAGAAAAATAATTTTCAGATATGGAGCAAACTTTAAACTTGGGTATGTTTATGTTTACATTAAATCAAAATTCTTTGCAAAAGTTCGCTGTGATTGCAACAATAAAAGAACAACAAAATTAAAAATAAATAAAAATACTATTACGATTCTAAACTGAATTTATATTCATTAATAGATTTCAAAATTCATTATAGATTAAATCATTAATAGATTTCAAAATTCATCAAATAATATGTAATTGTTCTAAAGAAAAGATCATGTAAAGTTTCCAAACTGCTTTAAATCAGAAAGTTATAAACTTTTCAAGGTTATAACTTTCGTACACTAAAATATTGTTTGATGAAACCTGAAATCTATCGCCAAATATCAATTTAGTTTAAAATAGTAAGAAATTAAAAATAGGCAAATGATTGCCCTCACATTTAGGGTTCAGAAGGAGGAACAAGTTTTATAGATTTTTATTGTTACCAGGCTTCATTCATCACAATGTTTTGCAAACCATTCTTATTTGATATTAGCACAAACATACCTAAGTTTAGAGTTTGCTCCACGTCTAAATAATATCTTTCTTAAACATTAAAAAGGTTGCCGCATTACTACTTTACAAAACAAAATATTTTGCAAGTCATTACCAAGTCGGCTTTTGGTCCTAAAAAAATGTCTTTTAAACATTCAAAGACATTCAGAACGTTTTTGAATGTTCAAAAGACGTCATTTTAGAACCAAAAGCCGGCTGAGTAGTCTATTAAGTGCATAATTCTCATATAAAGATTTGTCTTGATAAGTTTTTGCATTATTGCAGAATTCGTTTCAAAACGACAACAACTACCTGTCTCATTTTCTCTGGAATCTGGGAAAGTGAGACGAAATTTTGATACATTAAATCTGAGTATTCAAAATAAATTGGAATCAAAAAATAAAAAGTTATTTTGGTATAACACAATACCCAAACAATGTGTAACTCCATATCTTTTATATTTTTTTCCAAATTTCGATTTTGTTGTAAGCTTTTTAAGTCTATATGAAACGACAATGTAAAGAATCATTTTACATAATAATACTCTTACAAGTTTCTCTCAAAGACATTTGTTTAGGTTTTGCTGATGTTATAGCATTTTTCATACTATCTCTGTTCGAAGAAGCCTAAGTTGTTTTTTTCATTTAGTTTTTCATGATAAAAACATGAAAAAGTGAAGTAATATATATCTAAAATTTCTTCGGAAAAAAAATGTTTTTTATAAAAAAAAGAATACCATTTGAAAGACAACATATAAATAATTAAAAATTCAACATTAGATTTTTTTTTTTATTGATAAGTAGTACGCGGATATTTTTTTTAAATAGATTTTTTCCGGTAGATAGAAACTAGTTAAAAACATAAAAAAGGAATTGAAAAAATTACAACATGATAGTTATAAGAAAAAAAAAACCAACAATAACTTAACCACAGCAAAAAGGTTCGGCAAAAAGAGTTTTAAATTTTTTTGTGTTGAAACCAATTACAAAGCAGTTTTTTTTATTGCACTGCTCAGCATTTTTATTTTGTGTTTATTAAACTATTGAAAACTTGAATTACTAAATAGCTGCAAGTATAAATGATAACATTTACTCATTGTAATCAAAACAAAAAATTGGTAGCTGTAAACTGAGGTGTTTTGTTTTGCGCAGAATTATTTCATATTTTGGAAAGAAAAAAAAAATTTATCTTAAAATATATGGCAAACTGTATTCCGATTGTATCGAGTCAAATACATGCGCGAGAAGATGTATTTTTAGTCAATACATTAACAATTTATTAATAATAATAATAAAGATATTTAAAAATTTAAAATGAATAATTTATTAGAAACTTGTGGGCTTAAAAAGTCTTCATCAGCAACAACAGACATCTTTAATAAAACAAAAATTTTATTATGGTTTATATACCTTGGGTATACTGGAGATCTTGGACTAAATTCATATCGCATGTTGCCAGAAGGTGATGGAGCAGGAGCAGAAGGTGGTGCTTGCAGGTTATTATTATTTCTCATTCCCAATAATGACAGCTCGTGAGCGGTTATCGGAGGTTGTAAACTTGATGGTACCTGTAGTATATTCATATTAGAAATCTGATTGGAGGAGTCATTTAACATGCAACATGGTGTTTCGTAACTATTTTTGTAACTTTCATCTTCAACTTTTATTTGTACTGGTCCATATCCTAATATACAATGAAAATAAAGTTAAAAAAAAGTCAATTATAAAAAACTGTATACCTATGAGAACAAAAGAGTACAATAGATCATCACCTGCTAGCACTTTAGCATGTTCTTTTCTTGCTAAAGAATATTCAGGGACAAATTGGTCTTCCTTAGTAGTATGGGCTATATAAAAGTCAATATACCAAATATAAAAAATATAAAACATATATAAACTTGTAAAACATAAGTAAATATATATATATATATATATATATATATATATATATATATATATATATATATATATATATATATATATATATATATATATATATATATATATATATATATATATATATATATATATATATATATATATATATATATATATATATATATATATAAGTAGTATTTTTAATTACCAGCTCGCATCCAATGTTCTTGCATTTGAGAAAGGTCTTGAAATAAATCTAAATGTTGAATATAGTAATTATATATATTTTTAATATAATTGCAAGTGAGACTTGTGTTAATATGTAATCCGATATTTTAAATTAAAAAACCCCGATATTTTAAATTAAAAGACCCTGCAATAAACCAAAGCCTTATTAAAAAAATTAAAGTTTCTGCTAAAGTAATGTCATTAAATAATTAGAAATAAATGAATTATAAAATGAGGGTTTTTAATATCACAACTTTAAAGTATATAGTTAAAAATCAAGTTATATTAAACACATACTGCTTCTTATTTTATGCAACAAACGCTTTAAATATATTATAGAGTTAAACAGTTTTAATGTTTATAAAGCGTTGTTCAAAACAAAGTTTTATTGCATAAATAAATTTAAAAATAGAATATACAAACGGCAAACATATTTTTAAAAATAAAAACATAAACAAAAATAGAAAAATATAAATGAAGTTACCATGAGTATCGTATAGATATGATTTTTCATCATTTTGATACAAAGTTTCTTTGTCATTGAGAAAATAATTTTTATCAACAGATCTGTCAGCTAAGGTTAATGAGGATAATGGTTCCTAAAAGTGGCGTATTCAAGATATTTATAAAAGAGAAAATTTTTTTCAGTAACATCAGTAAGAAATATATGATTTTTTTCACTAATTTAAAATGATACTTCATAATAAAGAACAAAAAAAAACTGATTCAATAATAACATAAGTTATAATAAGTTATAATAACATTCTAAAAGGTAAAATACCACTACTAACCACATTTGTAAAATTTTAAGATTTATTAATTAAAATTTTTATTAGAGTCTAACATTACAAATACCTCCATATAAATATATGGCACTTTTTGGTCTTCATCTTTGTACATTTTAAATCTAACTTGATTTTAACTTATATACATATTTTTATAACTCTAAATATATATATATATATATATATATATATATATATATATATATATATATATATATATATATATATGTATATATATATATATATATATATATATATATATATATATATATATATATATATATATATATATATATATATATATATATATATATAATTGTGTATAGATATACATACATATATGTATATATGTATATATGTATATATATATATATATATATATATATATATATATATATATATATATATATATATATATATATATATATGTATATATATATATATATATATATATATATATATAATATATATATATATATATATATATATATATATATATATATATATATATATATATATATATATATATATATATATATATATATATATATATATATATATATATATGTAAATCTATATACATTTATATATAAAATATGTAAACTCTTTTTTTTTAAATACTTTTCACGCTATATATTTTGCTAATGTCGAAATTATGCAGGTGTTCTTCTCACCTATTCGTATGTTCATATGAAAAATACACATCTGATTGCTCTTTCTGTTTTATCTTTTTTTTCTTAAAAGAATAGCTTATCTTTTTCGAAGATATTTATGTTTAGCTTTTATATTAGACTTTTAAAGCATAGAAATATGAATAATTTAAAAGACAATTTATATCATTAGTAGCAGTGGTAGCGTTATGACATTATTACGTTTTATATATTAACATTAAAATCATTATAATAATTGTTTTTAATATTATTAGCTTTAGTTTTGACAATTATTATTATTAATATTATTATTGTTATTATTGTTATTACTAGTAAAGCTTATTTTTATTATTATTATTTTTTAAACAATATATAACATAAATTTTTTGCAGCTGGTTTATTCTTCAAACATGTTTATTTATTTATCTGAAAAACTTGCGCTATCTGCAAAATATATCGGAGTTAGGTGAAACTAATAAAAAAAAAATATAAACGGTCACAATTTAAATAAAATTTATAGGGGTTTAAGTGAAGCTAATAAAAAAGAATTACTAAAGTTATGAGAAAAGAGCTATTTTCGTTAACTAAAAACTAAATACGCTTCGTTTGATTTTACCCTCTGATACTACCTTATTTGGTATATATTTCATTGAAAAATCACTCTCAATAGGGAGGTGGTGTAGCTGCTACATAACTGTCTACAAAAGTGATTTCTGTCTAGTCGAAAGTGTTGTACTTTATTATAACTTAATTTAGAGATTTATTTATTAACAATTATTTTTAAAAAAAGGGAGGGGGGCGGAAACGAAAAATATGTAATTTACGCCTATTATTATATGTTTTCTTTAATCAGAACAATGTAATTTTGAAAAAGAAAACAAAATTTCTGAATGTGGGAAGCTCTGTCTACCGAAAAATATCCGAGATAAAAATAACTGTTCCTTTGCTTAAAAATCTGAATTAAACTCGAATTAAACTCGAGTATAAAAATAATTTCAAATTCCTTAAAATTTCGAAATCTTTGTTCCTAATGTCAAAAAATAAAATTAACTGTTGGATATAAGCGACAAATATCACTTGGTATAGTGGTTAAGTTTAGTGTATAAAATAAAGATAAAAAAAAAACAAAAAACAACGGGAAAAGCAAACATCATACAAAATAATTTAACTGAAAGTGATTAATTCTAAAATTTATTCACATTTTTTTAGTTTTAAACGAAAAACTTGATATTTTCACCTATTATTGGAAAGTTCGTGAATAGTAGCCATTAAAACTGCAATAAGCTGATTTATATTTTAAAAATAAAATTAGGGATATTTTTTTAAAAAATGTGTCATTTATCCATTATTATTAATTTTTTTCAATCTCAACTTTTTGTTGCAAGTTATTGATGTCAAACTTGAAAACAATATTTGTGTCATTGATTGCTTCTTTGGTAGATTAAATGTATAACAAATTTTTAGGATTTCAAGCAAAATAAATTTAATTTTAAAAATAAATTAATTTTAAGAATATAGTAAAAAAAATTAACTAAAAAAATTAAATAAAAGGAAATGTATGCTATAATCAAGAAGAATAAAATTCATTTTTTATGTTGTCTACAAAACGATTTGCTAAAACTTTTTAACAATTGGTAAAAAATAAATTCATATATTTATTATATATATCCGTATTCTGTATTCTGCAACTTAAATTTTCTCTCCGAAACAGAGTTTAATAAAGTGTATGATAAACCTTTTACTTGATTCTTGTATTTACAAATTTTTTAAAAATATATAACAAACTTTAAAATTTTGTATTTATAATGACGTAATGTTAACGTATTGTTTACCAAGAGGAGTTTAAGTCTACATAAGCTTTTCTAAAGTAATAATAAAAAAGAAGCTGAATTCCCTATCTAACTTAAATTTATCCTGTTATTTGCCCCTAAATAAATATGATAAAGAGGCGGAACAAAAGTTTTTATTAATTAAGTTCATTAAAATAAAAGTTCAATTATGAGAAAAGCTTCAGTTATGAGAAAACCTTTTTTTTACAAATCCGTTAAACCATCATATACAATCATATCGAGTACATGTTATCGAGGCCATTGTATAAAGATGTACTCAGTATGAGTGCTTCTAAATCAAAAAAACATACATCATTTTTAAATCTCACAAAACCTAATTATAAAACTTTAAAATTTTTATTTTTATTTTAATTAATTAGAAAACTTTTTTTTCAATCCATAAACTCAAGTTGTATTACTAATACCAGCACTTTTACTGGTAAACTAACTGACAGCAATACCTACTTTAAAAAATAGATGATGTGGTATATAACAAAAATAACTTGTTAAGGGCTAAAAGAATATTTATTTATAGTAAAATTAAAAGCGGTATTTTGTGCTAATATTGTTTAAGTTAACTAAATATCATCTCAACGTGTTACCGAGTCATTAAACGACTTTTTACTTAATCACACGGCACTAAATATTAATTAAAACAACAAAATGTCGGCTTGAAACTAACTACAATATCTTAATGTTTTGTTTCTTAACTAAGGAAACCGGCATCTTGCTAAACTGTTTATAAACCACAAGCTTATCAGTCTAATCAGTTTAAACAGCATAACCTGTTTCTTTGTTTTGTTTTTTAAAATAAGTTAAAACTTTGCGACGTATAACCAATTCTTAAAACTATTTTCAAAGACCTTTTTATTTGAATTGTAAGGAGGAGGAAAACTTTTTCTTTCACATCAAGTTTTTTAATAACAGGAAAAGATAAACAATAAAAATGCGGCCTAGTCCCTCTATCTAAATATATGACACAGGAAAAGAATTCTGTTACGTCAAATGATATGACTACACATACAAAAGTCTTATAAATATAATTATTTTCATTTACATTTTATTTCATGAATTTCATTTACAGAACTATTTTCTTTTTTTTAACGCTAAAATTTTTTTTAAAATTCTACTTGACATTTTCATTATTTTATTTGAACTCCCCTTGAAATAGCTTTTTTTACTATATACTGTACAAATTCCTTATTGCCATATTCTGATACCATTCTTTTTTTACCATTTTTTAGAAACATTTAAAATAAGTTCATACTGTTAAGAACGCAAAAGCCGATTTTCTACAATAACGTTTTGTTATGTTCCGTTTCTGTTTAAAAAATTACAATTTTTTAAATTTATAACCTATATTTCGTCATCGTTTTATGTCAAAGAAACATAAAAAATAAATAAGCGAGGGCGTAGTTTACCTTTGCGCGACAATTTATAAAACACTTTTATACTGAAAATTTAGGAAGTAGCTTCAACCACGGAATGTTATTGACAAAAGAGAGGTGGTTTTTTAACATTTTTGAAATTCATTTTATTTCAAAATTTTTTCCGATAAATAAATTATGTATATATATATATATATATATATATATATATATATATATATATATATATATATATATATATATATATATATATATATATATATATATATATATATAAAATCTAAATAAACTCCATTGAAATAAATTAACGATTATAGATATTAATATATAAGTCACGACATTTTTAGTGTCGTAACTTATATTTTAAAACAAATTTAGCACTAATCTATTTTCGCTAAAATATAAGCAAACTTACAATACTCTGTAAAACGAAATGTAACATTTTCAATGACTATCAAATCAAACCAAAAGAAAGTTAGTCAATTATATAACCGTTTAAAACAGGACAATAATTAATATAAACCCTAGAATCTAACTTTTATATTTAGAACAATTTATTACCAGACATTTTCTTCTATTAGGGGAGCAATTTCTTGATTATCACATATCACTGGGCCAAAAAATAAAAACTTAGCGAGTTTTTATTTTTTGGCCCAGTGATATGTGATAATCCCGCAACACAACTTTTGAAATGACTAATGAAAAAAAACGAGGGGGGGAGAACTAAAATCCTTTCTAGCTGGGACACACTACGTAAACTCGCGTTTAATTTAAAATGATATATGCAGATAGATTTATGTATTTTAAAATCATCTGAAAATTTTGAGCCTTTCAACGTTACAAAAGAGAAAAAAAAAAAAAAAAACGCGAAGCTTTTTTAGATCTTTTAAATTCAAAATTAGCACACCGTAAGCAAAATTATTCTCTTAAATCGTCATGAGAGCTTTATGAGTTACCGTTATATCGCCGACTTAACCTAAGCTTACAGACAATCAAGATAATTATATTATGATATAGATATAAAAAAAAAAACCGTTTACATTTAGAATAAATTTAGCCTAACTGATAATTAAAAATGGAAACTCTCGCAATTAAGAAATAGCGTTTTGACTTCAAAAAACATTTTTAGGTCACGCGCCGCTTTATAAAGTTTGAGTCAGTCCTGGTTACACTTTTTCTAAATAAATTTAAGAAATAAGAAAACTAAAGAAAAACTCACGAATGACATTGCGGAGTAATCAATTTGCTCATTATGACAATAAATAGCCATCGCATAGGTGTTTAACACAAAACGGGAAATTAATTTTCAAAGCGGATGCTTACTGATAAAAACTCCAAAATCTTTTCCGAATAAAATTACAAATATACTAAAGATTAAATTTATTTTCTTCCGTAATTTTATACACAAAGAATGTATTTTAGTATAAATAGTGCACACAACGTCAACCCAAGATCGCTGAAACGTTATGCCAACACACACTAATTGTCAAACTATTCTGGATAGGTGGAAGAATGAGAACTAGTTTATTTACAATAAAAAAAAATTAAAATTGAATAATAAATTGGCTTTGTTTCGTACACCATAGTTACATTTTTAGACGTTTTTCTACACAATTCTTGAGATCAACCTGGATTGCATAAAATGAGGCGTAAAATCTTCTTTACATTTTTTTTTTTTTTACAAAGAATATTTGTATAATTTTAATTTTCAAATTTCCCAAGGAGCTCCGAGTCACGAAAGATAACATATTCCTAAAACATAACACAAATAAAAATTATTGCTTAATAAAGTTACAATACTACTTTAAATTTAAAAAATAATTTTAAACAAGATAAAGAAACCTCACCTTATCCCCTAGTTCAATTTTTGTACCTCCATATTCAGGTAAAAGAACACTGTCGCCTGGTTTTACAGAAACGGGAACAATTTTTCCGGACTGTAAATAAAATAAGTGTTCAGATCAACATAAATTTTTTTTACAAAGCTACCAAACATAAATATCAATAAAACTAGTACCTGGTCTCTTCCTCCAGGCCCCACTGAAACTACTGTAGCTTCATTAACTTTGCCAACACTTTTTTCTGGTAACAGAATTCCACCAGTCGATTTCTTGTTTAAATTAAAAAGTTACATGTAAATATATTCATAAAAGTTTCATAACAACATTTTTAGTGAAATGATAATCTAAATATAGCCTGGCTTACAGTTTCAGCTACAACTCTTTGAACAATAACTCTATCAAACAAAGGGACCAATTTTCTAAGACCAGCCTATAAGACGAATTTAAACATTTATAAATTTTCTTAAAAATAACAATAACTCAGCAAATTATGCATTTGGTAATACCAATCCAATGCTAACTTAAGAGAAATAAATTTAGTAGCAAAATTGGTACCAGTACCAGTATCGATTTAACAAAAGCATACTAAAAACAAACTAGTTTTACATGACTTTTCAATTGTTTTATAAGTTAATGTTATTATATTTATATTTAAAGATGATTTTTAATGTTTTTTACTTGATGCAAGTAATTTTTTTACTTTTATCATATAAAATAACAGTATATATTTGAAACTAGAATATAAAAAACATAAATAAAACCCGTTTTTTTATAAGTTAACTAAGTATTAACATAAATTATTAATCAAACTATAAAGCATATATAGTAATATAAAAAAATATAAATATAGTGTAACTTAATGTAAGTAATATAAAAAATCTAAATAAAGTGCAACTTTGTAATTATGTAAGTAATTAAAGTAAAACATTAACCATTTTCACAGCCCAAAATGGTTGCCAAGCAAACGGTTTGCTATTTAATTTATTTTATGGAGAAACAGTACAATATATTTACTTTTGATAAGACTTCTGAATAGTAACAATATCCTTACAAATCATCAACTCATTATTATAAAACATGATTATACTTACAATATTATAGACACTTATATGTACTATAATACACTATTATATATTACTAAAACAGATTGTCATTATTTAAATAACTTGTCATTATTACTACTGGTTTTTTTGTAAATAATTGCAAAAGCATTAAAATGATTTATTTTTCTTGATAAATTTTCCTAGTATAAACAGAAAGCTGACAAGTTATACTTACCAATATACATCCATACATACATACATACATACATATATATATATATATATATATATATATATATATATATATATATATATATATATATATATATATATATATATATATATATAATTTCAAAAAACCATGCTTTTCTTTTAGAGACTTTAAAAAATTTAAGACTTGTAAACAATTATTAGGACTGGTGACTTTAGGCAACAAAAACAAGACTCTTTCAGCTTTCTTTTTGATTACCAAAATATGTTTTTAATATAAATAATCATTATTTTAGAAATTTCTATCAACTTATTTTGTTTCAGATAAAAGACCTTTGTAACATAGGTTTGAATGATATTAGAAAACTGTCTAATTTTCATGGGTCTTTAGCTAACTTTAAATATAATTTATGCCACTTTATCTTTATTACAGTTTTATGTTTTTATATAAAACACATTTTAGCTAGTGATCACTTTATTAGGTATGTTACACGAGATTTTTAAATTGATTAATTACTTGATTGTTATATATCATTGGAAAGAACTCAAATACAATATTTTAAAGGTGAAAAGATTATGAAAATCGAACACTTTTACAAAAGTTATAAGATTTAAAGAATTTGTAAAAGAAACTGCAATCAAAAATAAGTTTTTGGAAACCTAAATTGTTACAACTTTATCAAAACCCCTACAATTTAGTGTCAAAAGAAAAGTGTAAGAGTGGGCTGCAAGATTAAAACAGTCTTTGGCAACAAGGCATATTCAAGGGGCACCAAAACACCATCCATAACATCAGAAATTTACTTAAATAAAATGAGCTTATTTTGAAAAAATTTGTAATTTTTTATATACAAGAAACTGTTATAATTTGATTCTAGACCACTGCCAAACACGAGAAATGTATTTTTGAGTTCAGGGTGGATGGTGGTGTGATGGTTTAAAAAAAAAAATAGTTAAAAATTTCAATAATTTCGGTTCATGAATAATGTATACATACAAAGTTTAGACTATTTTTTTATATTATTTTTACAAATATAAACCAATGTTTCGGAGAACCTGATAAAAAAACCTCAATAATGAGTCTTAATAGTAATCATTGTTAACAATAGACACGATGAGAACATAAGTCAGAGCATCAAAATCAAATAAAATAAATTGCAAAAAACAAACAAATCCTTTTGGATCACCTTTGATGCCTTTAAAACTTTTTCATAGTTGAAACTCATTATAATAACTCTCAAATAATTCACAAATTTCAGATTCAGAGATTTTAATTGCTAAACGACATTAAATGGCAATTGAGCGAAGAATGTGTAAATGGCAGTTTAGCTCATTCAGATTTTTGCCTCAAGTTTTACAAATTTTGGCTATGGTAAGATGGTTTACTGCGACTCTGTCTGACATTATTTTCGAAATATTTTAGGTGATTATATTATGACAATTCTTAAAAGAGAGCAAGTAAAAATCTGACTAAACTGAAGCCATATGATACACTGCCTTTCATATACAATGTTCATAATTATCAGTTATAATTGAGAAGATAAGAGCTCATTACAAATGGCAGAAAAATGCTTAAAATTTCTTTTAAATTTGACATTCCTAGGGGTTATCCTAGGGGAAAAAACTGGGCAGTGGTATCCCACATCCCAATGAAAATTTACTGGATAATCAGCGTTTTATCGCGAAAAAAAAAAAAAAAAAAAAAAAATTGCTGTAAAATCATAAAAAAAAGGTCCTATAATTTTAAATTGGGCACCTAAATACAGTCTAGAATTGCCCCTGACCCTATTTTTAGGCTATGTTAACAAGATGTTTGATTTTATTGGCATTTATGTTATAGCCAAAATACTATAGATATATGTCCATTTCTACACTCTATTTTATTAAAATGACTTATTTTTGGGGCCATATAACCTATAAAAATAAGTGTGGATAATTACATTTTTCTAGAAATAATTAGAAATAATTACGTTTTTCTAGAAAATGAAATTATAAAAGATTATTAGTTTGTGTAAAAAATATCATAAGTATATCTAACAACAAATGAATGGTAAATTGATAAAAAAAGTTTTTGATAATAAATTTTATCAAATGTAAATAAGATGAACAATAAATTTATTGTTTATCTATTTTTAAAAAGAAACACTTTTGATTATTTAAAACAGTTGGATTAGAAAGCTTAACTAATACACATTTGGAGTCATGATTTAGTGCACTAACCCTATTTTAATTATGGGAAAACAGGTAGGATTTGAACACTTTTTACACTAAGTTGTATAAAAGCAGAAATAATTGCTATTTTAAAATAATTTAAATGCTGCTGAGTAACCTAAATATCTGGCTTTAATAATATTGTAGTTTAGATTTAAAAAAGCTAACATAACAGTAATATGACGACTTTTTGCAAAAAAATGAAGATTGTACGAATGCACCCTTAACACGGGGAAGCTTTGTTCAGTTCTTTGTTCGGTACTTTATTACTAAGTTAAATATGTATTTATTGAAAATAAACACTTAATAAGATTAAAATTACAACAAAATAAATATTAAATATAATAAAAATAAAATTATATATCCCATCTGCAGAGATTACATATTTTCTCAAAAGCTTTTCTAGGTTCTCACAGAAATCAGTTACAGCTGTCTATTTATATGCGAAAGAATGGGCTGCGCAGATTTTTTCATACGTGTTTATAATACAAATCCTCACCTTATTACTGTACAAATGTGCCCTAACCATAACAACTAACATATAAATTTAAAATAAAAATAACGGATAAGGTTATTAGAAAATTATTGTTTAAATACTTATTTAAGACACTTATACAAAAAGCATAATAAACTATTTCAATAATTGGATAAAAAATTATTACAAATAAATAATTTCAAAAATTTATCGTAAAATTACTTTAACAGTGCAAAAACACGTATCGACTTGTTACAATAACAATTACGATGGCACTGCCACAGCGCTAAGCTGTTAGTCTTTGTGCATGAGTGGTCTTCACACACACATAAATGTGTCAAACAAAGAATGGTCTAGATATGCCTACAATACGAATGCTTCCGCTGTATGAATTCTACCTGCTCTCCCCTACTATTATTATATTTATATCAATAATAAAGATTTCACTTACTTTCATACAAAATTTATTGTACGAAAGTTAGTGAAAGACAATATACTCAGATAAAAATAGTAAAGATTAAATAATACAAGTAAAGTTAATTAGTAAAATATTAAAATAATATAGAAGTAATATTTAAAAATGGAAACACTTATTTTTATGTTTAGACCAACAAGAATTATTTTGAGAAATATTTTGATGGCTTAATTGGACTAAGTTAATTTAAAATCTAGAAAAGCTGAACATTAGAATGCATTTTCTGTAAAAGATCTATGTATTTAAAAATCATTACTTTAAAACTATTGAAAAATCGTTTGATTTTCATAACTTTTCTTCTTTTAAATATCCTATTGAAGCTATTTAAATGATGTATAGCAATCTAGTGTTTAATCGGTTTTTAAATTTTAAGCCACATGCCTAATTCAAGGGTTCGATCATCATTAAAAAGCTTAATATTACTCTAAGCATAAGGAAAAAAAATTTTTCACAACAAAGAATAGATAGAGAAATTTGCATGTAACTTACCATATCAAAATATGTCTTTGACGCTAGTAACTACAAAGATCAAGTGTAGTAGTTAGTTAACTATACAAATGTTCATCGTTGCTTTTCCGTCTTTAAGAAATTACGCAACTTCATTACAAAAAATTAAAATACATACTTACAAAAAAGCATAAGTTAATTCAACAAAGATTTTTAAAACAAATTTTAAATAATCTTTTTTTATGTTTATTTCTTATTTAAATGTTTGGAAAATTAGCTTGTTACATAACAAAAAAATTATTTGTACAATAATGTTTTAATATCAGTCAGTAAATTTTCATTTTACTCCACGTGAGAAGAACTTAAAACCCGAACTTTCTAGATGCGTGTGCACTAGATAACCTACCTTATGTAACTTTTCGTTCTTGTATCGCACATCAAGTTTTATAAAGGTAGGTAACGGACTTTTGGATTTATTTTTTATCTTTATTAGAAAATTTAATATCTGCTAAGTATATTGCCAGTTAAGTGCACAATATTTTTTAGTTTTAATAATGAGTTAATTCCAATTGTATATTCTATTTTAGATAGTTCTTGCTGTTTATTTAGGTTAAAAATGTATTCACTTGCTAAACTTATAAGACCGGTTAATCGCGTGGTAAATCTTTCTCCGCGGTTAACTACATCATTATTTAGTACTTCCTCGAATTTCAGTTCCCCTAAAGAGATCAAGACTGGTTCAGAGGCAAGAGCACTGTTACTAAAAGGAGTCGATCTTCTTGCTGATACTGTTGCTGTTACGTTAGGACCAAAAGTTAGTTATTTATTTTAATCTCTTGTTCTTATTTCGACTTTTAATTTTTATAATAGCATGTACCCTATGGAGATCCAATATTTCTTAAATTAAAAAAAATATTATTTTTACTAAAGTGTTGTTTATATTAAATGGCATTTTTGATTTCTTTTGTGTACTTGATATATACACATTTAGTTTAAGCTCAAACATTTTGTGCTAACCCATCTTCATTTAAAATAAATAAAGACAATACAATAGCTTGAACTTGTTATTTAAAATGGGTTTTGAATCTTGATTTCTTGTGAATTAAAATAAACCATATACTTGGAAGTGTACAGATTTCATGCTTTCGCTACTTTAAAGTTGATCAATGTTTAACATTTAATTATGTTGACCACAATGTTATAAACTCATTTGGCTTTGTAATAATTCCATTATTTTAGAAAATGTATTACAAAGACTTAGCTGATTTAAAATAAAATATGGGCGCTAATTTACATCTCTACCCCCCTATTTTTATTTTTGATTATGATAGAGAATTTCATCCTGATTAAGAATCGTATAAAAACATAGGTCTGAAAATTAACAGAAAGTGCTCTAATTCGATGTTGAAGTTTAAAAAATTACACTAAAAAACGCTAATATTCGCCATTTTTTCATACTTGATTATAATTAAAGTCCTTTCATAAAATGACTTTAAAAAAGCCTGGTTTCTATCAAAAATTTATGGCAAAACTGTTATAAAATGCGTACTTTATCATTTTCTTATTGATTTCTGGCCCAAACCCTAACCCTGTCCCAAATCATGTACGTTTAATCGCACCAATCCCTATTTGTCAATCGATGTATGTGCATACAGTTGCGTCAATCCCTATTTGTATGTACATTCAATTATGCCAATCCCTATTTTTCAGTTGATACATGTACATTTAATTGCGCCAATCCATTTTTCAGTCAATTTATGCACATTTAAAAAGCAATATCTTAAATTAAATTTTGAAAATTTAATAAAAAATATATTCATAAAAAATTTATTTTAATTTAAATATAATTTAATTTTGGCAACAATAAAAACCGGGTTGGATAATTAAAAAAAGATTTTCTAAATAATCGGTTTCTAAATGTAAAATTTGATATAAAACGTTTTTAAAAAATATCGAATATTTGCGTTTTTTAGTGTAATTTTTTAAACTTCAACATCGAATTAGAGCACTTTCTGTTAATTTTCAGACCTATGTTTTTATACGATTCTTAATCAGGATGAAATTCTCTATCATAATCAAAAATAAAAATAGGGGGGTAGAGATGTAAATTAGTGCCAAAATATGAATTTTATTTTTATTAAACAAATACAGTTACATGACCAATTGGAAAGAACATAAAAAAACACTCTTACCCTTTCTCAAACATAAATAATATAAAAATACAAATAATTTAAAGCTCAATAATTTGAGTATATAAGTTTTAGCAAAACAAGGTGTTCAAAGTTGAATTAATTTTTTAAATTTGTCCCAGTCTTAACTAAGTTCTAATATGTTAACTCATCTTTTTTTTACATTGAAAAAGGCTTGTTTGTTGAGTTTTTGGATCTAAATATGATATTTTGTTTTCAATTTTCACCCTTTAATTTTCACCTGTGCTAAGAGGCATGTCAGGGACCACCAAGAGACTGTCATTATCTCTTTATAGTGTTAGTCAATTTAGTAGTAGTGCCTTTGTGTTAGTGTTGGCCAAAACTCTTGGCAGCTTTTGCAACCAAAGTAATGGTGGGAAAGAGTCTCTCAGCACTTTATTTTATACAATTTTGTGAGCGAAAGTGAATGCAAATATCTAACTTATGTAAAATTTTAAACTATATAATATTAAAACATCTCAAGTTTTAATATTATATAGTTTATTGAAAATTACTTTTTGGCAATATCTTCTTAATTTTGATTTAAAGAATTTATTTGCTGTTTAATAAAGTCTTTAGTTTATTAAATAACAGGCATTATCTTTTTCCAGATATTTCTGAAGTTTTAAATATTTTTCTAAATTTCTTGTTTTTTGGATATCCTAAATTTTTCTATACGTACAAGTTTACATACATACAAGTTTAGGTACATATTTTTGTAATATTTTTGTTTTTTAAACTTTTTTACTCAGTCCTCATACAAAAATTAATAAAAGTGAAAAAAAAAATTAAAATATCTCAGCTAAAAGCAAAATTAAGTGAAATATAAGGGAATGTATATTTCTAGATATTTTACCTTAACAATTTTCCGAATATTTTACCCAAACAATTTTTCAGATTTTTACAATATGACCTAGATAATCTATGAAATAGTGTTAAAACTTTTATTAGACAAAATGCCGTAGTAGCTAAAGTGTTAGCTTGCATCGTTTCTGTAATGCATTGCTGTGGTTCACATTCTCACACTTACACTTTTTTTTTTTTTCATTTTGATTTTTTAAAATCTAAAATAAAACATTTTTGAAGTCCTATAAATATTTTATATATATATTATTATACACTTAGGGCCTATTCTAGGGAAAAAAATTTGGGCAGCGGTATCTGTCCATGTGAAATTTTACAGAAAATCAGCATTTTTTCTTGAAAAAAAAAAACAATATTTGCCATAAAAAAACTGTTTAACACGTTCATGCCGGCGTGTACCACCGGTGGTACACACTAGACTGTCTCATTGGGCGGCGTGTACCACTGGTAGTACACACTAAACTGTCTCATTGGGCGGCGTGTACTACTGGTGGTACACACTAGACTGTCTCATTAGGTGGCGTGTACCACCGGTAATACACGCCACCCAATGAGACAGTCTAGTGTGTACCACCAGTGGTACACGCTGCCCAATGAGACAGTCTAGTGTGTACCACCGGTGGTACACGCCAGCGTAAACGTGTAGAATGGAAAAAAAAAAGATCCTTAAATTTTAATTTGGGCAGCGCCTAAATACGGTTGATGCTTTCAAAAACGTTCTAGAATAGCCCATGACACTATAATAAAAAGAAAGTGAGAGTTTTTAAAAAAGCTTAAGATTTGTGCAAAGCTCTTATGACATATGTTTACTGATATCTTACTGGTATCTGATAAAACTCTATAAATTGTTTATAATCTTTACTAAAAAAAATTCAATTTAGTGTTGGTTATTAAAAATATTAGTAAACAAAATATCAAATTAATTTCAAATAATCAGCGTGTTTGAAACATATCCTCGTGACCGGTAAACTTGAATATGGCCTACTGTAATAAAATTGTTATATTTTATTTTTAATTATTTTTTGTTTGGATTTTGTAATGTATATTTTGATTGTTTTAAATTTAGATGTTAAAATAATTTATATTTTAGGGTAAAAATGTTCTTATTGAGCAATCCTTTGGTGGACCTAAAATTACAAAAGATGGAGTTACTGTTGCTAAAGCAATTGACCTACCAGACAAATATATGAATATGGGAGCTAAGCTTGTTCAAGATGTTGCAAATAATACTAATGAAGAGGCTGGTGATGGAACAACTACTGCAACAGTTCTTGCACGTGCCATTGCAAAAGGAGGGTTTGATGCTGTATCAAAAGGTGCTAATCCTAATGAAGTACGCAAAGGTAAAACTAGTTTTCTATTATTTCTTATAAAACAAGCTTTAAAAAACTGATGATTAGCCTGTTTACAATTATTTCACTGTTTTGATAATTATAATAATTTAATTGGCTAGCTATATCTGGCTAATACCATCATAGTTCCAGTATTTAATTATGGCAATGGGTGTTAGTTGTTAATGGGTGGTAGAGAGACTAAGAATGCATCAAATGGCCCCTACTTAAAAAATCATAAATTTATCTGATCTTGAAACTTTCTATCGCTAAACGAAACTTTCTAAACACTAAAAGAAGTTTTTTATATGTATTTCATGCAGGCTATCAAAAATAATGAAAATGTCTTCTCGGGTATCTGTTAACAAAGCATATATTTTATGAAAGTTGTTTTAATAATCGATCAACATTTCTAATCTGTCTAAGATCATTGCTTTCTCTTGATAATGGTTTTGTGATTTGTGGTTTAGTATTTTTAAATCTTTTTATGATAAATAGTAATAATTTAATATTATTTAACCCAGGCTTGTGTGCAAAACAGTTATTAAAATACTAGGACCATTTTACATTAAATTTTAACAATTTGTTAATAGGACAGAAAGTGAGCTTCGACTAAAATATTTTGTTTTATTGTTATTTGCTATTTAGTTCTAATTGAAAAAATTTAACCTGAACGTTTTTTAAAATTTCCTTTAAATTAAAAACATCTTTTTTTGATCCCTTTGAGCTAAAACACAGCAAAATCATCTGATCACTAGCTTAGTTTAAATTAAATTATAAATAGATATACATAGTTGTATTAGTAATTTAAATCTTATAATTTATCATAAAATGTATGTTAAACTTAACATCTTTTAACTTTGTTTCACAGGTGTGATGTTGGCTGTTGAAACTGTAACTGCAGGTCTTAAAAATCTTTCTAAAAAGGTAACAACATCTGAAGAAATAGCACAAGTTGCTACTATATCTGCAAACGGTGACAAATCAGTAGGCAAACTTATTTCTGATGCTATGGACAGGGTTGGTAAAGATGGTGTAATAACAGTTAAAGATGGAAAAACTGTGAGCGATGAGCTTGAAGTGATTGAAGGAATGAAATTTGATCGTGGCTATATCTCACCATATTTTATCAACACAGCTAAAGGTCAAAAAGTAGAATATCAAAATGCGTTAGTTTTATTATCCCAAGCAAAAATATCGAATGTTCAGGAAATCATACCTGCGCTTGAGCTTGCTAACAGTAACAAGCGTCCATTAGTAATAGTAGCTGAAGATGTAGATGGAGAAGCATTGACAGCTCTTGTTCTTAATCGATTAAAGATTGGTTTACAAGTTGTTGCTGTTAAAGCACCTGGTTTTGGTGATAATCGCAAAAATACATTAAAGGATATAGCTGTTTCTACTGGTGCTGAGGTGACTTAACCTTTATTTAATGTTTTATTCTCTTTTTTTTTAATTATTTATTTTGCTTTTATTTAAAACAAATAAGTTGTATTGTAGTTTTTGAAAATCTCAGGTCTTTGGAGATGATCTTGGTCTAAAATTAGAAGAAATTCAATTAAATGATCTTGGAGAAGTTGGCGAGGTTATAGTTACAAAAGATGATACACTTTTTATGAAAGGAAAAGGTGATCCGAAAGAAATTTCTCGTCGATCAGAGCAAATTTTAGATGAAATAAAAGCCACTAATTCTGATTATGAAAAAGAAAAATTTCAGGAAAGATTAGCTAAACTGGTTGGTGGTGTTGCAGTTATTAAGGTAATGCGTTAAAAAATCTTTAAGCGGTTGTATAAATTATATTTTATAATTTAGATAAGTTAAAAAGTTCATCTCTAAGGTAATTATTTTAGTTGTTGACATATTTTTTTTTTTTAAGATTGGTGGACACAGTGAAGTTGAAGTAAACGAAAAAAAAGATCGAGTAACAGATGCTTTAAATGCAACACGCGCCGCTGCTGAAGAAGGAATTGTTCCTGGAGGAGGCACTGCTCTAATTCGATGTGCACCATTATTAGAAAAATTAGTTGTATCAAACGCTGATCAAAAAGCTGGTGTTGATATTGTTTTGGCTGCTCTTTTTAAACCATTAACTACAATAATAGCAAATACTGGAATAGAAGCCGCAATGATAGTCCAAAAGGTATTAAATAAGATCAACTTAAATTATTATTAATAAATATAAAGTTATTAGCATAATTATATTTTAGCATTAGCATATAAAGCATTACGTTGAGAAAAAAACAAGTTAAATGATTTACACATTTTTATTTTTTATTGCAGGTCGCTAGCAACGAAAACAAAGAATTCGGTTATGATGCAGCGACTGGTGAATTTGTTAACTTGATTCAAGCTGGAATTATCGATCCAACAAAAGTAGTACGTATTGCATTAAATGATGCTGCCGGTGTTGCATCTCTTCTTACGACTACAGAAGCTGTTATAGTTGAACTTCCTAAAGACGATCCTCCAATGCCACCTATGGGCGGTGGAATGGGTGGCATGGGCGGTATGGGAGGAATGGGTTTCTAATTTTATAATTCAATTTTTAAAGTTATTACGCCCTTTTTGGCTTGGAACTTGTTGACTCGATGTCATCAAAATCAGAAGAGGAGAATTCTTACTTGTAACTAAAAGTGAGATTTAAACTGAACAAAATAAATTTTTATACGTAGCAGCGAAATCCGTGAGCATCAAGTTGATCTTGGGTTTCCTAATTTATAAAATTAACGGATTTTTTTTTTAAATCTTACAACATTGAACAAAACATTGTTTAGCGACTCTTGTAGTTATTCAAATTGGCTTAGCTAATTAGGAAAATAGTTTAAATTAATGAAAAAAATTAGTATAATTTATATACATCCGGGTTAATTAATTTCCACGTTAACTCTTGCTTTATGCCAACCTGACCTAAATTATTGCCAATTGCTGCTCATAATGCCATCCATAAATGATGTTAGTAAATAAACGGTGTGGATAGAGGTCGTGACAATCTGATAGGTAGCTGTCGTGTATTGTTTAACTTTAATTGTGCGTTTAGTCTTACCATTTTAATGCGGCTGAACTTATACAGTCTTACGGCTAATAATTGTGATCGTACAATTAAGAAATAATCTAAAATTATTGCATGAAATATCGAAAGCTCTAATCTCTCGGATTTTTCTAATAGCGTTTCATATATCCGTTATTCCAATTTTTGTTATCCCAAAATTATACCAATCTTAATAGAATGCGATCCATTTCTGCTAATCGCATCTGTCGTGATTCTTCTCTGAATCAAGTAATTTTTTCTGTACTTGATAATATGTAATAACATCGAAAAAGTTTTTATAGTTTTCCTTCTGCAGTTTTCTAGTAAAAACAGGCGAGTGTCCACTCATCCGTTTTTTTACGGGAATGGGAAAAATAATCACGTGGGCATGCGTAGTGTAAGATATTACATGTCTGAAGGAAAACTACGCATGCTCATATGATTATTTTTGTATATCCTATCCTGTTCCCGTGAAAAAACGGTTGAGTGGAAACTCACCTTAAGAGCCCTCTAATAAAATTGATTTACACGACTTTCGTTTCAATTAAAAAACATTTCTGTATAATTTTTCTCTAGCTCATTTCAAACTAATTCATGCAGCAAGTTTCTCGTCTTATTAATAATAAAAACATGGCCGCGGCTGAGTCTTGCAAACTCTGATGTCTTTTTCATTTTTCGAATTGCTAAGTTGAACAATTAAGAAATCTTACTAAGTAAACGTATGAAAAATATATTTTATCACGAAATGAATGTCTTATGTTAAGTGACAAAAAATTTTTTTTTTTTTTTTGTTTGCATTTGCCGTAAAACAAATTTTATATTTTGCAAGAACAAAGAAAACAAGACTTCTGAAAGAAGATCAACTGATCTTATCATCAGAACCTTTACAATTTTATCATACTATAAAAACTGAAAAAATAAATCCAAAAACGGCCGTAATAATAAATATATAATAATAAATTCATAATATTAGTCACGTATCTGTAATAATAATTTTCACAAATCTGTTATTTAAAAATTCAGAATATACACGTAAAAATATTCATTTGGTATGCCATCTAAAACGTTAATCTAAAAGATTATCCTGATTTGGTGTTTTTCGCAGTCAAAGTGAATTTGTTTTTTTATGGGGATATAGGTGCAGTTGTTTCAAATGAAGATATTAATGAGCTTGATTCATAAAATTCACATGAGTCAATTCTTTCAGAAAATAATGAAACTGAAAGTGAACAAGAATACAATTTAATTAATGTTAATTAATCTGCTTTTCATCAAGTTTGTATGCAAATTAGAGAATTTCTTATATGTGGAACTGGGATGGTTGGCCATCACCAGCTTCAGATTTCAGTCTTGAAAATATTGAAAGTGAAATTCCACTTATTCTTTTTAATTTTCTGTCAATAACACTGGGCAACAAAAAAATGTTTTTTTTTTTTTGTTTCTTTAGCAATTTTATTCAAATTATACTAATTTTGGGCTGAGAAAAAAGAAAATAACAACAAAAATTTTTTATTAGCTCTAGTTTCTGAGATATACAATGGAAATAAATTTTTATTTCAGTTAATTTTCAACAGAACAATATGACATATAATTTACATATTCTAATAACATTTAAAGTACATTTGGGTTTTTTTTTATTACAGATATATTCTAATAGTTTTAAACAAAAAAAATTCTAAGGGGTAAGAAGTCTAGGTGTGAGTGGAGGAAATCAATCTTGAGGGACATGTTATATCCAAGTTGATGGTATTTTTGCAGAAGTATTGTTACTAATTAAATGTAGTTATCATCTCTTTTGTTGCCTAAAAATCCACAAATCACTCCCTTAAGAGCTTCCCAAGCTTCTTTTTCTTGCCCTTTCAAAACTTCGTCAAATGCAGGATCCGTCATAAGCTGGCGTATTTGTAGTCCAACAAAAACACCCTCTTTAACTTTTATATCACTTATTTTTGGAAATTTGTTTCTTAAATACATAAAAGCCTGTCCTTCTTTGTTCATACCTTTGACAAAATTTTTCATTAAACCCAATTATTTCAGTATAAACTAATTGCATTCCTAAAAGTATAGCAATGACTTTTAGATCACCACAAAGTTTCTATTTGTGTTCATTGTAATTAATTGAGTTGAGGAGAACTTTCATGTTTATATAAGTCTCTTTCATGTAAAATGCATGGCCAATAGGAACAGAAGGAAGACGGTTTCCGTTGTGCAGTAATACAGCTTTCAAGCTTAGCTTAGACGAGTCTATGAATAATCTCCTTTCAGTTGGGTCATAGTTCAAATTAAGACAATACATTAATCCAAAAACATCAATGCAAGCAACAAGATTATTTTTCTTCTCAAAAAAAGACAGCAGATTCTGCTACCGTTTTCTATAATGTGAAACCTTGACATCAAATTGGAGAAGATTCCACTGCCTTAGTCTTAACCCTAGAAGTTCTGCCTTTTCCTGTGACAAGTCCAGATCTCGAACAAGATCACTTAATTCTGCTTGACTCAATCTGTGTGGCACAACATCTGTTAACAAAAAATCAGGATCATTTGATGTAGAAGGCCTGTTTTTTTCTATTTCTACATCATTTCCGTATTCATTTTTCTGCTTCTAACTCATAACTTTGTGGTGAAGTAGGAACTGGTAAACTATCTGAATGAGGAGTAGGTCGAGTGGCAGAGGAAAGATTTAGATATTTAACTGATCCTATTTTCTTCATTGACAAACCTGCCTTAATGGGTGGGGTCATGCCGAAATAGCAGTCATCTGTATGGTTTTTAGGCTCTCTCCATACCATAGGAACAGCAAAAGGCAGAGATCTTTTTTTATTTTTCAACCATTCTTGTAGTGTAACCGAACAAGAGCTACAGCATATATGTGGAGCCCATGACTTATCCTGGTTCCTTACGTTCATATTGAAGTAATGCTGGTAAGCAGTCTGCACAAGAGGTGTCATAGCTCTTTTCTGTGAGAAAAATGTTATTTCACCACAAATGTAACAAAAATTATCCACTAAATTTACACACTTCCTTGGCATTAGTAAAATTTTAGATGAGTAGATTTGTAAAATTTTACACTATAAAATGAAAAAAAAAAACTATGAATAGATTAGACCAGAAACGTTAGCAAACACACATAACTAGTATCACAAGTTTTAAACATGAATCAAACATTATGGATAGTCAAAAACAAAAATCTCTTTTTTCAAAAAATTAAAGTTACCCTCGCAAGAGTTGAATTAAGCGATCGCGATTTGCAAAATCTGGAAAAATATCTGGTCTTCAAAATTTTAGTTTATGCAAAGCCGTGTACTTTGTTTTTAAGGAGCAAATAATTTTAAGTTTGTTTGCGAAAAAGATATAAAAAACAAAACAAAACAATAAACTTACGATTACGAATGTAATAACACTCCAGTCACTAACTGCATTATATAAGTAATAAAACTATAATAGTACTATTACTTTTATAAAGCACTTATAACTTTAAAAGTTCATTCTTTGTTCAAGAAACATTAGTAATTTCAAACTTTAATCAAAGTAAAAAACATCTAAAAAAATAAAGTAGATAATCAAATATTATTAAAAACTTCAGGGACTTTTACAAATACACTAAAACAACAATATAAACGAGCTTTATGAAAAGTTTAGCATTATGAAAAACGTTACAAACAGTCCGTAAAAACGCGCGCAAATTTTAAAATCAATCAACTAAAACTTTTTATTGGTTGATTTTATAATTAACGTGCGTTTTTACGGACTATTAGTAACGTTTTTCGTAATGCTTACTGTTTATATAGTACGTTTTTATTAAGTTGTTTAAGTTCTTTAATAAGTTTTAAATATTATTTAAATATCCACTCTATTTTTCTAGAGGCTTTCTACTTCAATTAAAATTTGGGATTACTTAAGGTGTTTGAACTAAGAATGAATTATAAAAGTTATAAGTGCGTTATAAAAGTAATTACACTATTATAGTGTTATTACTTTTATAGTGCAGTTAGTACTAGAGTGTTATTACTTTTGCAGTCGTAAGTTTATTATTTTATATTTTATAATTTTTTACCTAACAAATTTAAGTTGATTCCCCCCTAGAAAACAAAAGACACGGTTTTGCGTAAACTAAAATTTTGAAGACCTGATATTTTTCCGGATTTTTCATTTCGCGATCGCTTAATTAAACCCTTGCCTCGAGAGAAAATTTTTGCTTTTATTTCTTAAACTAGAGCTAATATGTCATTTTTAATGTCATTTTTGAATTCAGCAGATGGAAATACATAAGAAATAACTAATTTTGGTTCCCATACAAAATCACTGTTGGGCAGTGTAATTCTTGGTTATACAGATGAAGTTAATTATTAAGAATTATGTCAATATAGAGTTCAAGCTGAATTTGAAAGTTCTATCTTTTTCACAATAATTATAATAAACCAGATAATGATTTTTTTGAAGTTAGCAAGCGCACAAGGACAGTAAATGTTGAATTGAGTGAAATATCAATTTATTTTCTGGGAAAAAAAATCTCTTAACTTAACAAAATTATTTGAACACAAAAATGTAGTCATAATTTCATTTGTAATGGTTGACGAGGTGGTTAATGCAAAAATACAGATGGTAAGATGGAAAAATGCAGAATTTGTTGATCGAATTGTTGAAAGACTTTGATTTTCACATGGTCATGTCAGGTAAAGCTAAAGTATTTAAAGATGCTTAACAGGTAAAATAATTTTTTCATATATATCTGCAATAATACTTCAAGGT